GCGCAGGGGTTGGGTACGTCGCCAGGGTAATTTTACAATCAGGATGGGAGGGCCCGCAGCCCGCATGGACGTCCGCGCGCGATGCGCGCCGCGTCCCATTCCTGCCACATATTTCGCACCGTCGGCGACAAGGCAGGCCATGCTGAGAGGAAAAAACGGAGACTTTGTAGTGGTGTTTTACAGTCAGGATGGGCGGGCCCGGATTGACGGCCGCGCGCGATGCGCGCCGCGTCCCATATGTGCGCCGCGTCCCACTGCTGCCACATATTTCGCACCGTCGGCGACAAGGCAGGCCATGCTGAGATGAAAAAAAGAAGATGTTGTATTGATTTGTTACATTCAGGATGGGCGGGCCCAGATTGACTGCCGCGCGCGATGCGCGCCGCATCCCATTCTTGCCACGCTTTTCGCATCGTCGATGACAAGAAAGACGATGTTGAGAAGAAAAACGGCCACTTCGTATTGATTCCCAACCCTCCTGCGTTGGGTTCTCGTTTTGAATAGACCACTGCTCGCGCGTTTCCTTCCTTCCTTCCCGTCCCTCTCTTCCCCCCTGCCTTTGACCTCGCCATCCCTGGGGGGCTGCGATCTGTGAAACTGTCGCTACTTTCGAGGCCTGCTGGGGGGGCCCAGCACAGTGGGTACCCACCGCAGACTCAAACTAGACCTCGCCATCCCTGGGGGGCTGCGATCTGTGAAACTGTCGCCACTTTCGAAGGCTGCTAAGGGGCCCAGCACAGTGGGTACCCACTGCAGACTCAAACTAGACCTCGCCATCCCTGGGGGGCTGCGATCTGTGAAACTGTCGCCACTTTCGAGGGATGCTGGGGGGGCCCAGCACAGTGGGTACCCACCGCGGACTCAAACTAGACCTCGCCATCCCTGGGGGGCTGCGATCTGTGAAACTGTCGCCACTTTCGAGGGCTGCTGAGGGGCCCAGCACAGTGGGTACCCACCGCAGACTCAAATTAGACCTCGCCATCACTGGGCTGTCGCCACTTTCAAGGGCTGCTGAGGGGCCCAACACTGCGGGTACCCACCGCAGGCTCAAATCAGACCTCGCCATCCCTGGGGGGCTGCGATCTGTGAAACGGTCGCCACTTTCGAAGGATGCTGAGGGGCCCAGCACAGTGGGCACCCACCGCGGACTCAAACTAGACCTCGCCATCCCTGGGGGGCTGCGATCTGTGAAACTGTCGCCACTTTCGAGGGCTGCTGAAGGGCCCGGCACAGTGGGTACCCACCGCAGACTCAAATTAGACCTCGCCATCCCTGGGGGGCTGCGATTTGTGAGACTGTCGCCACTTTCGAAGGCTGCTGAAGGGGCCCAGCACAGTGGGTACCCACCGCAGACTCAAATGAGACCTCGCCATCCCTGGGGGGCTGCGATCTGTGAAACTGTCGCCACTTTCGAGGGATGCTGAGGGGCCCAATACTGCGGGTACCCACCGCAGGCTCAAATCAGACCTCGCCATCCCTGGGGGGCTGCGATCTGTGAAACTGTCGCCACTTTCGAGGGCTGCTGAGGGGCCCAGCACAGTGGGTACCCACCGCAGACTCAAATAGACCTCGCCATCCCTGGGGGGCTGCGATCTGTGAAACTGTCGCCACTTTCGAGGGCTGCTGAGGGGCCCAGCACAGTGGGTACCCACCGCAGACTCAAATTAGACCTCGCCATCCCTGGGGGGCTGCGATCTGTGAAACTGTCGCCACTTTCGAGGGCTGCTGAGGGGCCCAGCACAGTGGGTACCCACCGCACACTCAAATTAGACGCCGCTTTCGTCCTTGTTCTCCTCCTGCAGTCACCTTCCCTCTGCTGCTGCCGTGCTGATGGTTCGGCTTCCCGCACGTTTTTCTCCTGCTCTGCGTTCCCGACTCCCCATGTCCTCTTCGAGCCTGTAGCTGTCGCCCCATCGTTCTTGCATGGTTCTCCTGCGCATCATGCCATAGGCGCGTGTCCCAAGTAGCTTACACATCAAGTTGATTGTCCATGCAAGTTTCGGCCAACTCCTCGTTTCCATTGATACAAATGGGTTGGGTACGTCACAGGGTAATTCTTTACAAAAAAAAAGAAAAAAAAAATAAAAACAAAAAAAGAAAAAAGAGAAATGAGAAGAAAAAAAAAAAAAAAAAAAAAAGTATCCCAGATGGGGAGGTCCCGTAATTGGGTCGCTATCGGCCCGAATTAAGACTTATGTGGGGCTATATTCTAATCAGAACAAGGATGTGTGTGTGGTGGGGGTGGTGGTGTTGTGGTGGTTGGTGGTGGTGGTGGTGGTGGTGGTGGTGGTGGGGTGGTGTGGTGGTGGTGGTGGTGGTGGTGGTGGTGGGTGGTGGTGTGGTGTGTGGTGGTGGTGGTGGTGGTGGTGGTGGTGGGGTGTGGTGTGGTGGTGTTGGTGGTGTGAGGGTGGTGGTGGTGGGTTGGGTGGTGGTGTGGGGTGGTGGTGTGGTGTGGTGGTGGTGTGGTGAATGTGTGTGTGTGTGGTGGGTGGTGGTGGTGGTGGTGGTGGTGGTGGTGGTGGTGGTGGTGGTGGTGGTGGTGGTGGTGGTGGTGGTGGTGGTGGTGGTGGTGGTGGTGGTGGTGGTGGTGGTGGTGGTGGTGGTGGTGGTGGTGGTGGTGGTGGTGGGAGCCATGGTCGAATCAATTCTGCCACGCCGGAACAACTGTGGAAGCGAAGTGGGAAACAGGACTCTCACACCGACGCCCCGCCGCTTCCTTCGGTGGAGGGGGGAGGGGAGGAAGGAAAAGGGGAGGGGGATCGGCTGCACTCAAGAAAAGAGCGACCCTGGGCCAGAGTGACCGTCGAGTGCACGGGGAGGGCGACCCCTGCCCGCGAGTGCGACCAGTGGCGGCGGCCCGCGCGCCTGGGAATGGCCTCCGCGCAACGCCCAAAGGCTCACTCCACTGAGGGGAGGGGGAAGGGGCAGCAATAGGCGGCGCGCCCGGGGGGAAGTGAGGAGAAAGAGAAGGCCTTCTCAGAAGGCTCGGAATTTTCCAAGCCTTCCCCGCAGACACAAAAAAAACCTCTCGGAAGGCCGGAGGGCTTCTGGGAGAGGTCCCGCCGCCTCCTGAGAAGGCATCCTCCTTCTCACTTCCCCCCCTCGCTCGCCGCCGAAGCAAGGTGGGGGTGCCAGCGAATCGGCTCACTCACTGAGGGGGGGAGGAAAGGGGCAGCAAGCTTCGGGGGTCGCCAAAGGTGCCCCTGGCCCCAGATGCCCCCAGCTGTTCGCCGAATCCTGGAGCCCCTGGGGCCCCCTGGGCCTCGCGAAGGGTGCTCTGCAGGCCGCGAGGGCCTCCTCGGATATCCTGGGGGCACCTTGGGCCAGGCGCACTTCTAGCATCAGGTCGGGCATGTCCCCCTAGAGGCGGATTCTGGACGAAAAATAATAAACAATAGCCCAAAGATGCCCCAAAATGGTCAAAAAAATCTTCCAAAAGATCGCCCCCCGACCATATTCTTACTGCTTCTGAATGTCCCTCCTGTAGAGGGAGCAGGCCCGACTCAACTCCAGCAACACCCGCAAGGTGGGGGTGCCAGCGGATCGGCTCACGCCTGGAGGGCCTCCCTGGCGCCCTCCAGCGCCGGGTGTGCGCCCCGCGCAGACCGGACTGCAGGGCAGAAGCAGCGAGCCGGGGGTCCCGGAGAGGACGCGCGTGGGGCGCCGCGACCGCTCCAGAGGGCTCTAGACCTGATTGATTACACCTACCAGACCACCCCAACCCAACCCAAAGACCCGAACTTCGGGCTGGGGGGGGTATGGGCTCCATCTGTGTTTTTTCTATGTTCCCGGACCCCCCCCCACTGGGGATGGAGGGCAAATTGAGGCCTTCGGGTTGGGTTGGGGTGGTTTGGTGGGGGTGACTGATGGGCCCATGTTCCACCACCAATACCGCGGGTAGCACGGGGGAGAGGGGAGGATGGGGGAGGTCTTCCTGCTCCTCCTCCTGCCCCCCCTCCTCCTTCTTCTCCTCCCCCCCCCCCCTCCCGCCTATGGTGGCGGTGGTGGTGAGAATCGACTCATCAAGACCCCCGCGTTCCAGAACGCTCTGGAACGATCTTTATCCCCAGGCAGCCGACGCTGCAGACCCAGACCTCCGATGTCTGGTGTTTTTTCCATACGGTCGACCTGTATCACAAGGATGCGCGGTAAGGATGCAGGGGCCGAGGAGGCCCATGGGAAAGTGTTGTTCGAACGAGGCCAGCCAACGCAAGTCGCCAAGGATGGGCCGAAAGGGCAGGGATGCAAGGGCACCCTTGGGAAGGTTGCCTATCCTTACCATGCGGGTTGACTATACGGGGTTCCTGGAATCCCCGACTCTCTCCCAGGACGGTTGTGTGTCACCCGACCTCTTTTTGACAGACCTGGGGCCAAGCGAGGGCCTCCAGGGGCCAGAAACGGCCCCAGAAACCTTCCGTCGTGATGTCTTCACGACGCGAGCATGCCTGGGCCCGGGGCCCAGCGCGGATCCAAGAAATCCGCGCGGAGCGCCAAAAAAGTTCATGTTTATGCCGAAGAGATGCGCACAAGGCTCATAGACCTACGAGGAGCACACGCCTTCTCGCGGATCCGACGAGCGGATCGAGCGTGGGGTGAGTCGACTCTGCAGCCGATCCTCCCCCTCCTCCTCCTCCTCCTTCTCCTCCTCCTCCTCCTCTCTCCTCCTCCCTCCTCCTCCTCCCTCCTCCTCCTCCCTCCTCCCCTCCTCCTCCTCCTCCTCCTCCTCCTCCTCCTCCTCCTCCTCCTCCTCCTCCTCCTCCTCCTCCTCCTCCTCCTCCTCCTCCTCCTCCTCCTCCTCCTCCTCTCCTTCCTCCTCTCCTCCTCCTCTCTCCTCCTCCTCCTCCTCCTCCTCCTCCTCCTCCTCCTCCTCCCCTCTCATCACTCCTCCTCCACCTCCTCCTCCTCCTCCTCCTACTCCTCCTCCTCCTCCTCCTCCTCCCGCCGTCCCGCGGCGGCCGCCGCGGGGGCGGGCCGGGCTGCGGCGGGCGGGGGCGGCGGGCCCTGGGCAGCGGCCCGCGGGCGCCGTTCATCGTCTTGACCTCTCGGGGCGCCGCGGGGCGCCGGAGCTCCCCAAAAGTAGGAGGCCAACGAACCCACCTCGCTTTTGACCACCCTCGCTTCCAAACGATGCCAAGCTACGGCCCGCACAGTTGAGGCCGCTTCGCGAGGAGGATAGTGGTGTGACTTGGTAGGTAATTCACGCTCTGAAAAAGGGCGCGCCGGGAGAGCATCGCCAGGTTTCGGTCGGGCGTGTCCTCCCACTAACGGATTTTGGACGGAAAATGCAAAAATACTCAAAGATAGTCAAAGATAGTCGCAAAATCGACCCCCGATCATCTTTTGTACCATTCTTGAATCTGCTCCTGTCTCGGGACGCGCCCGCCTGAACCTGAGGTGAGCGCTGGGAGAGCATCGCCAGGTCTAGGTCGTTCGCTCGTTCCCCAGAACCGGCTTTCTTCATCCCGGTAGCTCGTTGTGCGACGGCCCCACGGGTCCGGAGGCGGCCCCGGGAGGCCGGCAACGCCGAGAAGCCTCGGCCTCGATGCTCTTCGAGCCTTCGGGGGCACGTCCTCCTACAAGCTGAACGCTGGGTGAGCGACGAAAAAGGAACGGGTCTCACGCGAGACGACGCAGCGACCGTACCCGGTGGCCTACGCGGGCCGCAAGTTTCGTACGCTACACGGGAGACAGAGGCGCTTACGCGAGACCTTACGCGGGGAGGTTACGCCCAACGTCGGCGCAATCGAACCCGTATTCTGCCGTCGCTCATCTGAACCCCCACCGACCATCGGTTCTCCTGAATCGATGGTCGGTGGGGCAGGGTTCGGACTCCGCCACGTGCTCGACGAATTCCGAGTCCCACCCCCGCCGCCCATCGAGTTGCCTGAATCTTTGATCAGCGAGGCTCGGATTTCTTTGCTGCTCGTTCTGGGGACCTCTCTGGAGCCACTCGCTCCACTCGTGCGTCGAAGCTGCGTCGAATGGCCGTCGATTTGAGCCGACCCTGAGTCGAGCCTGAGTCGAACGCGAGTCGAACTTGAGCCGAACTGGGGTCGAACCGGATGGAGTCGAACAGATCTGTCAGGCGGGCCCCGGGAAGGCCCCCCCAACGAGCATCGACGGACGCAGAAACAACGGCGTGAACACAAACTTCTGGCGCTCCGCGCGGATCTCTTGGATCTGCGCTGGACCCCCCCTCCCTGGCGCGCGGGGGCGGCGCCGGGGGCGCCGCCGGAGGCGCCCTGGGGGAGGGGGGGGGGGGGGCCCAGCGCGGATCCGAGACATCCGCGCGGAGCGCCAAAAAAGTCGATGTCGATGGCGCTTTGTTCCTCCTCGACCGAAGGAGCTCGCCGCCGAGTCGGGGCGCGGGGCCTCGCCTCGGCCCAGAAGTAGTCAAGAGCGCCAGGAGAGCTGTCAAGAGACAGTGTCGAGACAGTGTCGAGACAGTGTCGGGCGAGAGTCTCCCAGTGCCCGACACGTGAAAACCCTTGTGTGTTTCGGCACCTGTTGGGGCGCTCGAAATTATTCCTGGTGGTCAAGGCTGAAGTAGGTTGGAGCATTATAACTTTGGAGGCCTCCTCGATGGGGTCCGAGTAGATGGGGTCGGAGGATCTTGCCGCATCGCCGATGCATCGGCGATGCATCGGCGACGTGGGCGTGGAGAAAATTGGGCCCCACATCGAGCCGCATCGCCGATGCATCGCCGATGCATCGCTGATGCATCGGCGATGCGGCGCGATCCTCCGATCCCGTCAACTCTGGCGATCGTTTCCCGAGCGGTGTGGCCAGAAAGCGCCCGCCACGACGCATATACCATAAGATTTCTCGGCGCGCGCGTCGCCCCAAGGGGGGCGACGCACACATAGTACTAGCATGCTGGGGTGACGCCGATCCAAGGGCGCGCTGGGAGAGCATCGGGGCGGAGCTTCGCCTGTCCCCCAAGCATTCGGGTCGGACGCAAGGAGGGGTATAGCACGGGGGGGGATTGGCGGATCAGCTCGCGTGGCCGATTTCTCCGGCGCCTCCCGGTGCCAGGCGACGCCACCGTACCGAGGAACGGCGCCACGCGGCGGGGCGGAAACTCAAAAAACAAAAAAACAAAAGCTGCAAAAAACAACAACGAAAAAAAAAAACAATAAAAAAAGAGGAACAAAAAAACAAAAAAAAAAAAAAAGAAAAAAAAAAAACAAAAGGCAGAAAAAACCCAAAACAAAGAAACGAAAAACTAACTGCAACAACAAAAAGCAAAAAAAGAAGAACAAAAAAGAAAAAAGCGCGACAAAAATAAAAAAAAAAAAAAAAAGAAAATAAAAAAAAGAAAGAAAAAGAAAAGAAAAGAAAAAAACAAAATTAACGGAGGTAAAAAAAACTTTGCAACAAGGGGTGGGGAGGGGGGGGGGGGGGTCGTTCTACCAGTCTACGGTTTTTGATCCCAATCTTCGGGCCCTGTGACCGTAAAAAACGACTCGGGATGGAAAGCCGGCCCTGGGGAGAGGCTCGGGGCTTCAGGGGCCCCGCATTTGACTACCTACCAGACCACCCCAACCCAACCCGAGAACCTGAATTTCGCCCGAATTTCAGGTTCGGGGGGTACGAGTTCATGTGTTTTCCAGCGTTCCCCAACCCCCCCACCAGAAATGAAAAGCAAATCGGGGCCTTCGGGTTGGGTTGGGGTGGTTTGGTGGGCGGTGAGCATTGACAAGAATCAAGGCAGCGAATTTCTGTGTCACTGCCCTGTCGGCGCCGGGGGGCCTCAGCCCGGGCTCTGGGGCCGTCGGAGCGGCCCCCAGCTACACGCTAGAAGCCTGGCCCCTGGGCAGGAGCCAAATTTGTTCTTACAATGCGTCTTCTCACAACCACACGAGGTTTCATAGATCCTCGGGCCTGCAATCGCCGGACTACAGACGCAAGCGTAAAGAGAGGCCAAAGCACATCACGTGTAGGATTAGTACAGTGCGGGCGCGGCCGCAAGAAACCCTCGCAAGAAACCCAACCCTGAGAACCCGTGCGCGAGGTGCACCCGAGGGGAAACCTGGAGCACCCTGAACGCAGCAGCTCCTTCAACGGCTGCGGGAGGTCGCCGCGCAGCGCGAGGAGCCAAGAAACGCAGGATACCCTGACGAAAAGCAGATGGTTTCTTGATGCGCGCCCCCACTGTACTTTAAACGACCGACGGGTACCACTTCTTTCACCTGCTGCAGGCTTGGAGGGCGAAGGCCAGCCGCGGCGGCCTCGTGCCCCGGCGGCCTCCGCGCGCCTGGGGCACAGGCGCGGATCGCTCGGCCTGGCAGGCGGCCGCTCGCCTCCGATCGCGCGGCGTCGCTCGATGCTGGCCAGTTTTAAGCCGGGCCTGTCCCTCCGCAGGAGGAATATTCGAAAATCAAACAATACCCTGGGGACGATTTGTTTCAGAATGTTTGATGATGTTTCAATATGTTTTGGCTCTCCTGTACTGTTGTGCCAGAATCCGCCTGTAGGAGGACATGCCCGACCCAAGGCTAGTTCCGCGGGCTGACCCGGCGGCGAGCGAGGGAGAGGAGTGAGAAGTAGAAGTAGAAGGCCTCCTGGGAAGGTTCGGAAGTCCCCTGGCCTTCTGAGGAGTCTTCAGAGCCCCCCCCCGGAGACACAGGAAGCTCCTCAAAAGGCCGGAGCGCTTCTGAGAAGTCCCGTCTGAGGAATGTTCGAAAATCAAGAATACCCTGGGGACGATTTGGTGCAGAATGTCTGTATCCACGCGCCGTCCTGGAAGCCGTGCCGTCGGCACTAGGCCTCCGCAGCGCAGCGGCCGCCCGAGGGGCCACGGAGAGAGCGGCGGGGCAGGGGTCGGCGGGCAGGTCGCAGGGCACGCCCGAGAGCCGACGCAACGGCGGCCCGAGCCGGAGCCCTACAGGGAAACTGGGACACACAGACAAAGACACAGAAATACAAAAAATCCCATATTTTCCTGCCCCAGATTTCATAATCAAGGGAGGGGGGTCTCATTTCGGGGGGGGGTCTCTTCCAGGCTATCTTGGAGGGCCTGGGGGGTCTGGGGACGATGTTTTGGAGGGTTCTCCCACGGGGGAGGTCCGAAATGGCTTGTCTTGGAGGGTCCAGACCCCCTCCCTTTTATTACAAGATCTGGAGTACACACAAATAAAAAAATCCCCATATTTTCCTATCTTTTCTGGGTTTGGGTCTTCCCCACCATTTCCCATAGTTTCCCATATCTTCCCGGGAGTCGACGATTCATTGTGTCTGTGTGCTTTTTCCCCTCCTGAAGCCTGCACGCGAGGACACCCAGACTGAAGTCGTGATTCGGAATCGACATCGAGGTCCTCGAAACCGAATCGAAATCGAAATCGAGATCCTCGGGATCGGAATCTGATCGAATCGAGGTCGAACTCTGATCGAAATCGCATCGATGCGCATGGACACTCGGAGCAGCTCCGGGGCAAGTCGGGCTCTCGCAAACGTGGATTAGAGATCCATGCATTCGGAGCGCGGTCGCCAAATCCACGGATCGGGGGAAGTGCCCTCCCCAAAATGCGGCCGGCGCCGCCTCGCTCGGCGGCGGGAATCCGCGATTTCCCATGGAGACGGGACCCGTCGCCAATCCACGCCCCCCTGATCCACGTTAGCGATCGCCTGAGATTCGGAATCTGATCGAATCGAGATCGAAATCCTCGAAATCGGATCGATTCGCATTGACAATCGGAGCGGCTCCTGGGCAAGACACGTCCTTCAAGAACATGAGACCCTCCGCTGGCCAAACTGAAGAACACTCGGCGGCACCCTCCCCAAGGATGCCCAAGAGCATCCGACGCACAGGAGGAACAGAAGGGTACCCTCCTCGAACCGACCTCGATCTTATACCTCGGCCCGAACGTAAACCAAGTTTATTCGAAATTTGCATCGGACCGGGCTGCCACGGACCGGGATCGAAGGCGAATCGGATCGGCTGCGCCAGGATGCAAAACAGCAGCATGCGAGCATCGGGCCACACCCGATCGTCGGAGCATCGGAAGACAATCCCACCAGAGGTCGATCCAGATCGAATAGAATCCACTGAGGCTGGATCTAGATCTGATAGAAATCTTACAGGGCTGGATCCAGCTCTTAGCGAATCCCATCAGGGCACGATCAGGCTCCAAGAGAATCCTGCTGGGGGGGGGTCCATCCAGCTTTGATACCATCCTTCTAGGGGTCGATCAAGCTCTCTCAGATTCCACTGGGGCTCGACCCAGCTCTGATGGAATCCTACTGGGCCCGATCCAGCTCGAACTGAATCTTACTAGGGCTGGATCCAGCACTAATAGAACCCTACTAAGGCTCGATCCAGCTCTACTTGGATTCTACTATGACTGGGTCCAGCTCTCGTAGGATCGAATGCGGGCTGGACCCAGGTCTGATGGGATTTTACTAGAAAGTCCGACCCAGAGTTCATGCAAATTCGAAATAGAGTTGGATCCATCCCTACTCGAAACCTACCAGGGTTCAATCCATCTGTAATGCAATCTTATTGAGGCTGGATCCACCTCTCATGGAATCATTTTGGGGCTCGCCCCAACTTTAACTTAGAATGAAGGTTCAATCCAACTTCAATCGCGTCCCACTAAGGCTACATCGTCGTCGTCGTCGCCGTCGTCGGCGGCGGCGTCGTCGTCCTCGTCGTTGTCGGCAGCGGCGGTTGCGTCGTCGTCGGCGTCGGGGTCACCGTCGGGGGCGGCGTCGGGGTCGGCGTCGGTGCCGTCGGCGCCGTCGTCGTGGTCGTCGTGGTCGTCGTGGTCGCCGTGGGGCATGAGTGTCGCGTCACTCTGAGACTATCGTTCGATACACCCTGTGTGCGTTGCGGTGCGAAACCTGAGTCTGTGCAGCAGTTACACGAGTGGACGGCGATGCATGTTCGAGGTGGGGGGCTCTCGTCTGGCACGTTCCATGCATATCCGAAACGTGATGGTGCGCGACAGGAAGACGGGCTGAGGGCAACAAGCAGCACTCACGTCAGGCACTGGACGTGACCACGCAATCCTTTCTTGCCCGTATAGGACAGAAGCTCTTCCTACATGCATACCACGTGCTCCCGCAACACGCGTTTCTGGGTAGTCGAAGCCACTATGGCGCCAATCTGGCAGGCCCAATCTGGCAAACGGGGGCCGTCTGGCGAGGGAGCCAGCGCGACTCCAGCCGGGAGAATCACCCAGATCCTCCAGCTTGGCCAGGCCAGATTGGCCCCCTTGGGGCCCAATCCGATCTGCCAGTCGGGCCTTCGACTACCCAGTGTTTGCATCAGACGATCGCGCCTGCGTCCACTGCCTGCGTGGCTGCAGGGATGGACGGGGCCTCCCGGAGCGCAGGCACCCCTCGCCCGCACGGCGGGCCCAGAGGGGGGACCTCGTCTGCCGAGGCGGCGGCCCCCGCGAGGGCGGCTTGCCGCAATGGCGGACGCATCCTGGGCCTCATCGTACGTCGGGCGTGTCCCTCTACAGGAGAGATATTCCAAAATAGCCTCTCTCACACACACACACACACAAACAAAACGAAAAAACAAATATATGTATATATAGAGAGAGACGATGTTTCGACTATTGTTGGCTGTGTTTGAACATTGTTTGATTGTTTGATTACCTTCCATGCTTGCTTAAAAATCCGCATGCATGAGGACATGCCCAATCTAAGAATCCGCATGCGTGAGGACATGCCCGACCTAAGGTTCATCTGGCCCTCCTCTTCACCTCCCCTCCCCCCTCTCCCCCTCCTACCGCCCCCCCAATCCCGCATCCCCCAAACCCGTGACCCTCCGCCCGCAGGACCCCTTCCTGGACCTCCCAGGGACCCCCACAACCGAGGAAACCGCGCAGGTGACCACAAATCCTCCCCTTGTGCCTCTCTCTCTCCCACTCTCTCTCCCTCTCCTCCCTCCTCCTCCTCCTCCTCCTCCTCCTCCTCCTCCTCCTCCTCCTCCTCCTCCTTCTCCCTCCCCCTCCTCCCTCCTCCCTCCTCATCCTCTTCCTCCTCCTCCTCCGCCTGCTCCTGCTCTGCCACCTCCTCCTCGTCCTCCTCCTCCTCCTTCTCCTCTCGATGGGGGAGCACTTCCCGAAGAAGGGCCGCTGTCTGGGCTGTGCTGGAGGCCCTCCGCAATCTGTGCTGAAGCCGAGCTGGGGGGGCGTCATCGTCGCTCGCATGACGACAATGTCGCCGCGGTGCGCACACAAAATGCTCTGCTGACTACTTCTCCCAGGAGCCGGTATGACAAGAACACCCCCTAGAAGGGGGGTCATTCCTAGACTTTGCGGGCGGGAGCGAGGGGGAAAACAAAAAAAAAAAAAACACGCGACGCGGTAGATCACATGTCCACAAAATTATCGTTCGTTCGCCGCCGTCGCGGCCGTCGCATTCCCAGCATTCGCCGCCGCTGCCGTGACGGCGGCGAAAGTGAGGGGCAACGATAGGAGGGGATAGGCACAGGGGGGGGAACATCGACCTGGACTCGGCGATACATCGCCGACAGATCGTCGACGGGCCCCCGAGAGCGCATCCCCACATTCCTGGGCGGGGTGGGGCTACCCGCCCGCTATCGGCGATCAAGGGGCGATTGGAGGTCGATGCATCCCCCCATGCGTAGGTCGGGCATGTCCTCCTGAGGGCGGATCTTGGAAGGAAAGCAAACAATAGTCAAATAATACGCTCAAGAATCATCAAAAACAGTCAAAAAATCATCCCCTGACTATTTGCTGACTATTCTGGAATATTCCTCCCGTAGAGGGACATAACCGACTTAAGCCTGTCCCCCCCCGATCGTTGCCCCCGAGTCAGCGGGGGGGAGGCCTCGGCCCACTGGAACGGCGACCTCTCGACGTCCATGGTCCAGATGTCACACTCGGCCTCTCCGCTTCCCCTCGGCCGTCGTGCTCGTGCCCAGAGCCCCCGCTCGCGCGGTCGTCGTCATCGTCGTCGTCGTCGTCCTCGTCCTCGTCGTCGTCGTCGTCGTCGGCGGCGGCGTCGTCGTCGTCGTCGTCGTCGGCGTCGCAGTCGGCGTGTGCATCGGCGTCGGCGTCGGCGTCGGCATCAGTGTCGGCGTCGGCGTCGGCGTCGGCGTCGGCGTCGGCGTGTGCATCGGCGTCGGCGTCTCATTGCATTGTACGTTCCTTCCCGGCTTGCACCTTTTTAGCAGCCTCGATAGGTGGAGGTTGGAGGATATGATTAGAGGTGGAGTGGCGAGGACGAGCTTAACACAGCTGGGCCAAGCAGCACCGACTGCGCCAGCTCCTGCACGCACCAGCTCATAGGCCACTCTCATCACATTGCACTCTCTTCTCAGCATGCACTTTCTTCCACAGCTCACTCCAGCCTTAGTCTCAACCCAGCTTTCAGGCCCCCCTGGGTACCAGGGTGTAGCCCCACAACTCTAAGCAATCATAAAACCACCTTTGCCGCTAAGCAGTATTCTCCCGACCTTCAATTTGAAGCCTCGACCTATTCAGGGATGGGTACTGTCGGGGGGCTGGATTTTGAGATGGAGAGGGAGAGGCACATGGCAGCTCACCAAGCCCCCTGGACAAACGACGGTGGTGGTGGTGGTGGGTTGTGGTGGTGGTGGTGGCGGTGGTGGTGGTTGTGGTGGTGGAGTGGTGATTTGTTGTGGTGGTGATGGTGGTGGTGGTGGTGATGGTTGTGGTGGTGGGTGGTGGTGGTGGTTTGGTGGTGTGGTGGTGGTTTGTGGTGGTGGTGGTGGGTTGTGGTGGTGGTGGTGGTTTGGTGGCGGTGTGTGGTGGTGGTGTGTGGTGGTGTGTGGTGGTGGTGGTGGTGGTGGTGGTGGTGGTGGTGGTGGTGGTGGTGGTGGTGGTGGTGGTGGTGGTGGTGGTGGTGTGTGGTGGTGGTCGTGGTTGTGGTGGTGGCGGGTTGTTTTGTTGGAGGTGGGTGCCGGTGGTGGGGGTGGTGGTTGGTGGGGCGTGGTGGTGGTGTGGTTGTTTGTGTTTGGCGGTGGGTTGTGATTCTAGTAGTGATGGTGGTTGTGGGCGGTGGTGGTGTGGTGGTGTGGTAACAATACCCCCTGTATTAAAAGTGAACAAAAAAAAAACAGGGACCCCCCCCCCCCCCGGGCAGGGGCCGAGTAGACGTGGTTTGGCCCTCCCGTTATGCAGCGGGCCCCGGACAATGTTGGCTTTGTTGCCAAATTCGGAGTTATCCGTGCCTCATCATCCCCTTTAAATATATCATAAAATGGGCCAAATGGGCTCCGACCGGAAAGTGGGATTCTGCCTCGGACTTCCTCAAAAAAAGTTTCCGGTCGCCTTCCAGGGCGACCGGAAATTCTGCCATGCCACCGGAAAGTGGCGATTCCGCGTGGGACTTCCTCAAAAAAATATTCTGGTCCCTTTTGAGGCCGCCAGACAGTGGCGATTTCGCGTGGGACTTCCTCACACATTACTTTTTGTCGCATCTCATGCCACCAGAAAACGACGATTTCGCTTGAGACTTCCTGACATTCGAGTTTCTGGTCTCATGTACGCTCACACAGACGCCGCGGAACTATTCCTCTTCCCACTCTCTCCTCTTATCATCACAGTATTGGATTGTTCCGTGTCGCATGCTCTCCGTGCAAGTCAGATTCCAGTTGCCACAGCCTCGCGCGCGGTCCTATCTGCGCCTGGGCGGATGTCCGCAGGGATGGCCGTTGCATCGCTGGCCCCCCTGTGGGAGGTCCGATCCCAGGGTCATTTTGGGGCGACGCGGTTGACCCAGGATGCACGGTCCAGAATCGACGATCCAGGATCGATGATCGAGGATACACGATCGATGACCCAGGACCGACTGTGGAAGAGCGAACCCATATCGATCGGAAACGAGGCTTTGGGTTCCACGGCCGATCAAAGTTCGACAACCACCTAGCGATTGAGGGTCGGAGATCGAGGGTCGAGGATCCAGGGCCGTTCGGACATCGAGGAGCCAGGATCGAGCGGCCACGATCCGTCGAAGTTCGACGCTGGATGGCCGATCGAAGAGCGACGATCGAGAACCGATGTTCCAGGCTTGATCGAAACTCCAGGCTCCAGAATGCCTGGCCGATCGAACATCCATGATCGAGGTTCGATCGAGGCTCGAGGATCGAGGATCGAGGGCCCCAGATACTTCGAGGGTCGAGGATAGAGGTCCGGTCGAACAGCGACCATCGACTTCCCAGGATCCAGTCCCGATCGAAAGTCGCGGCTCGAAAGCCGAACGACGGACGAATACCAGGATGCGGTTCTTTCGGTGTAGCTCCGATCTCAACTTTTTAATCCAGGGGGTGGTTCAAAAAATTGTTCGTTTTGCGATGTCCTCAACGTTCGCATCCGTAGTCATCTCGGTTCCAGCGATGTCTTCGGACAATCGTGCGAAGCTGGTCAAGCAATACGGAGGGCAGCGAAATCTGCGGGCGTTCACCACTCAGAGCTGCCCAAGGACACTGCTGCGGAGGGAGAAGTCCAGGCACTTTTGCACCACATGTCGAGCTTCCAACTCCGACGCAGCCAAAGAGGCTGAGGTGGTTTGGGTCAACGACCCAGAAAGGAAAGGGCAGAGGATGCCTGCGGTCCAACCCGCCCGTATCTCGGACGAAGTGGTAAAATGTGCTTCAGAGTCGAGACCATGATGCGCTCGGCCCCGTGGAGCGTGCGAAAATATCAACACATTCAGACGTGCTTCGGCCTTGCTGGCGGTGGGGTTTCCATAAAATGGTTCGTTTTGCGATGTCCTCAACGTTCGCATCCGTAGTCATTGCGGCTCCAGCGATGTCTTCGGACATTCGTGCGAAGCTGGTTCAAGCAATACGGAGGGCAGCGAAAGCTGCGGGCGTTCACCACTCAGAGCTGCCCAAGGACACTGCTGCGAGGGAGAAGGTCCAGGCACTTGCACACCAGGTTGAGTCTTCCAACGCCGACGCAGCAAAGAAGG